CCTGGCTTTCTGCAGCTTATGAGCTTCTGATGCAAGAGAATAGGAATCTAAAGGAGCTGCTGCTTGCTCTTTGGGAAAAATAATAATACTGAAGCAGTGCTACTTGCTGCTTCCTCCCTTCTCTGGCACAGCGGTCATTTAACCAGCCGATCTCTTACCAGCTGATCTCTTACCAACACTAATCCAAAATAACTTCAGCAGCAATTATCCATTTTTTGATTCCTGTGAACGGTGCATTAGTGGGGCTGTTTCAATGGACAATGTAGAGAGACCAGGCAGATTTTCAGGCAATTTGGAAAGAAAGCAGCCCTGCTCACCAGGCTGCTCAGGTTCCCACACTGCCCTTCCTCCCAGGCAAATTACAGAACAAACTTGGAGGGGGGAGTTGGAAGAGAGGAAAGCAGTAATTTATGAAAACATGGTACACCATAATTTTGCCATTTTTCTGCAATAAGGATGGCAAATGATTCATGGGGAAAAATGAAATATATTTCACTGTCAGCTCAACAGATCTAAGATTTACAGCTTCTTGACTTGGACAGGAAAAACTCAGCTTGCATAAGAATGAACTGCAAATCAGTTAATTGTTGATATGCAAAAAATAAAATAAAAATCTGTGCGCTTCAGTAAAATAATCAGAACAGCCAAGTAGAAGAGAGAAGAGGAAAGGCAGCAGTGCATCGTGTTTGTCCTGGGGTGGTAGGAGGCTGCTTCTGCAAGGGACCATGAGCCTGGCCACACAAGCTCACCTCCCTTCACTTCATGTCAGCTTTACTGATCAACCTCATTACGTTTACATCAGTTGGATAAACAGATTATAGTATCTTGCTAAGACAGAACCAAGTTTGCCTTGTTTAGTCAAATAAAGCCCGTGGAGGATAACCAGTGACACCACCTAGCCCTGTCCCAGGCACCTGCACAGCCAGCACAACACCACAGCACCATGCTGACTGAGTGTAGCTCAAAATCACAGCTGTCATGGAATAAGAACAGCCTCACCGGCTGAAACACAGAAAGTTTGAACGCAGCCCCAGCCTGTTGAGTGCATTGAGCAGTCTCAGGCTGCAATGGTTCAGAGGAGGCAGACAAAACACGGTGGCTTGATACTGGCATTTGCCGAGGATCAAGTTCAGTGAAATACACAGTTAAAACTTCCCTATATTTTCCAGAAACCAGCCCCCTGCTCACACCCAACTGGATAACCTAACATACATGACAGCCCTTGCACAGGGCTTTTTGTGGGAAAAAAAAAAACAAAAACCCAAGCAAGCTAAAGGCTTGCTCAGGGGAGCAAAATTTAATCTCTGCCTTTATTTGCAAAATAGGAAAAGATGAGATTATCCCAGAGCATGCCTGCATCAGCGGCATCTTCTGAGTGAAGAAGGTATCGATCCTGAAACACAGTCTGTAACCTCCAGCCTCTGCAGCTGAGCGCACTCTTTTTGCCAGCAGTGCTCCTGCACTGGGGTACAGACATGCAAAAATTGGGGGGAACATTAGAAAGGGGAATGGGGACTAAAACCTCAAGGCAGAACTCTCCCACAAACGTGAACCCCCTCTTTTCCAGTGAGGAGAAGTAATGCTCACTTAGCAGCAAAGATTCACCCTCACCGAGGACGGTTTTCTCTCCTCGAAGAGGTACAATCAGTTCATATCTGACACGGGGAAACACCCAGCTCAGGCAGCAATGCTTAAATATTAATGTTGCTATGATATTCTATATCGTATTTCTAAAACAGGCTGCAGAGTGCAAAAGAACATAAGTTGCAATAAATCTGAATTTTTGAACATTCAGTAGAGAAAATTGTGCAAAGCAAGGGAACCCAGTCCCAAAACATCATCCTTGAAAAAAATCCTATTCCTCTCAGTTCTGTGGAGAGCAGCAAAATCAAGATCACAACTCAAGGCAATTTTAGTGCTATAAAATATTTGGGACAAAAATGATTGCAGCAAAGATTTTCTGACATATTACTTACACATCACCGATTAGATAAAATTTATAATCTTTGTAATTCCACTCTGGAGGTCTTGGTCCTGCTTATTTCTGTGGGGGACATGTGGAGGGGAGTTATCCTGCCTGCACGTACACAAACCCTGTACTCGGCGCAGCTGCATCACAGTTGTGGAATATCCCTATTACAAGTGAAAATTAAAACCTATAAAATAATATGGAGATTATAAAAATTGCATTTAAACTGATAAGAGCTTTACTGATTTACTGACAATGAAAATATATAGCATTTTTTTGGTAAGAACATTTATCAACACATGGCAACCCTGGACTAAGTTGACATGTAAAATGATCAAAATGGATTATGAAATTTCTTCCATTCACGTCTATTGATTTTAGTTCTGATAAAATTCATCAGCGTGCAAAGGAACACTTGAGACTGCCATTTCCAACCCCCCCAAAATCCAGGCCAATTGGCTGGCTGTGATTTTAGTACGAGATGGCAGTGCAGAATACCTCACCCTGTGTGTCAGTGGCGAGCACACACAGCTCCTACATCCCAAGAATGCTAAGTGCTGCATTAACTCCCAATTTTCACTTCTAAACTATGAAGCACTAAATTCTGAGCTGAAATGGGAAAGCATGGACAAAATTATGTTATGTTTATGAAGAAGCATCTATCTGAACATTCTCCCCTTAAAAATAAACTTTTTCAAGGATAATCAAAGTTATTTTTGTAACTGCCATAACAAACTGCCAGTGAAGGGACCATTTTTAATCAGTTTTATTGATTCATGCTTTCAGTTCTTGCTCAGTTAAAAACAAGGCACATTAAATACATCCTCTTATTGCTCTATAAATGCATGCGGCTCATTGTGTATATCAAAAGTAATAAATAATGGCAGTAAAAGACCAAGACAGTTATAAAAATGACTACCCAACCTCAAACACAGTATTTAACAGTTCAGTCTAGAACAGGAACCTCACAAAATACCTAAGTGCCATGTGTAAAACAGGCAATGCATATACATGTGTGCACATACATACACACGTGTTTGTACACACATATATAAACACACTGCATGTACATGCATACCCTCCCCTCCAGGCATGCAGTTTATTTTAAATCCAAAATATTACCACATCCAGTAATCCAACTCCCACCTCAAAGACAAAAAAAAAAAAAAAAAAAAGCAACAACAACAACAACAAAACATAAAAAAAAAAAACAAACAAAACAAAACCACCCAAAGCAAACCAGAACACCAACCCCCACAAAAACCCCAAAACACATTACTGGTTTTCCACCATAGCAATGCAAGACGGTGACACCGTACAACGCTTTCTACAGTACATTCACATGAAAAGAAAATAAACCAAACAAACCAAATCCAACATTCCTGAAAAGATGTGAGGTGATAAATAAATATTTCTAGATTTTTCCAAGTACAGATTTAGCTGTTTTAAGTAACACATGCAATCTTTACACAGGGTGGTCATACAAGATCTTGCTATGGCATACAAAGAGAAGAGAAGCATGACAATAAAGTGCCTAAGATGCAAAGCAAATTCCTATCGGAGGACACACATTTAGCCAGAAAAATCCCACAGCCTCATCCTGTATGCATTACCAAAACAAGAGAACAAGGAGCATACTTTGGGTGCAAAGCAGAAAGTCCTGGCTTCACAGGTAAACTTTTATTATTGATTCTTAACAGTGCCACTGATAAAGGAGAATTTTTCTTTGTAAATGCTGCAGATATTTTACTTTATGTGGCCTGGAAGAGGTCTCCTTACTTATGTTTTCTTCTTTGTTTTCTCCTTATTGTTAGTAGCAGAATCCTAAGCCCCTTCCGTCCTGACCTTCCTCACTGAACCCAAACAACCTGTGTATCCTACATTCATTCTCCCCAGTTCTACAGGGTATGTAAAATTTGTTGCTCTCTTTTCATCTGAAGAGGGGTTTGCCGATATGACGCTGTGCACAACATTACATACTTCACCTGAATATACTGGAACATAATTCAAAAGAGAAAAGTTTGCAGGACCACAGAAACAAAACCCTTTGTCCATAAAATAATTCTTACATTACCAAACATGCTAAGTCCTCAGTCACCCAGACCATGCCTTGCCAGCACAGGACTCTAAGCAAAAAAGCCACAACTGCGAATAACACCATCATTTTGGTAAAAGGCAGGGTCAAAGAAAAATCTAATGTGCAAAAACCATCTGAAAGGCATTTTATCGAAGACTGTCTCCTTCACTCCAGATTTTACAAATTGGGCAGAAATATAACCATTTACTGAATTTTAAATGAGGCTTGCCCTTTTTTTTTTCTTTTATCTACCATTTTTAGCACCTGAATTTATAATTTTTTTTAAAGGACTGCCTCTCCAGCCAAACACAACCTCAGCACTTAGTACGCGCCATATGAACACTCCTCAGCATCTCCATTTTGTGTATATAATCGTCTTCCCCTTCAAAATATCAAAGCAATCCTTGCTGTTCAGTCCTGTACTGTTATTTTCCATTAGTGAAAGTGGTGACACTGGTTAAAATAGATTAGATTTTACAGAAGTAGAGAACCTAACACCTCAGAACTGCAGCTTTAAGTTGTAAATTGGTACTTAAAAAACACAACAGAAGGACAAATTCATCAATAAACCATTCTTGTGTTTTTCCCTTCCTTGTTCTACATCAGGCAGGAGTCTTCCACCTGATCTTGACCCTAGTCGATCCAACAACAGAAAGGCAAACAGACAGACACAACACCACTGAAAACAGCTCAAGTGATGATCTTATTTCCCCCTCCTCCTCCCCCCCAATTTATCTGCTGAAAAATAGCCCTTTCACTTTTACAGACGATTTAGTGTAATGCAAAACAAGTTTGATTGTTTCACTCTGTGTTTGAGCATTTTTAAATGAAGAATTAAGACCATCATGCTATTGAAACCTGCCATATTCTACAGATCATCAGGGTTTGTCCAAAACTGAAAACAATATGAAGCCTTTTACAGCATAAACCAACACCTGTTAGACTACGCTATTTATTAAAGGAAGCCTATTTTTATTAATATGGGAGAAAGGAAAGCTGTCCCCATGCTTTTAAATAAATTATTAGCTTGGGTGATTAATCAAGATGTCTTGTAGTTTTCCAGCTTCATACTGCCAGTATTTTTGTCTGGCCAAGTACTGGTACCACTGAAATAACAGCACTTGGAAGAGCAAAACCAGCCACGTACAGAACCTCACAATAGTTCTTCGCAACTGCTGCCTCAGGAAGTGTCAGTCTTGATCCTTTTGTGTTATTATCTCCAATCCAGATCACCAGCTTTCCCTGTCTCACTTTTGATCAGCAGAGATCAACAACTTTTAAACACTAAATGTGTATTCACAAAACTCAATGCAATGCATTTAAAGGCAGGATGCACTTTCTGAGCATTGTTTTCTCTGAAGGTAAAGGTGATATAGAAGTTAATGAATGAGGCAGTATGTGCACATGCACTTGTGTGTGCACCCAAATCTTTCTAACCTGTATTCCTGAACTCTTGTTAATGAACTCCTGTGTCTAAAGAATACCCAATCCAAAAGGCCACATACTGGAGTATTAAGAGCTGCACAGAAAACCATTAATAATAAGGAAAACAAACGCACCAATATATTTTTGTAAGAGCTACACCCATGGACAGACGCCAGTCATCTGGAACAAGCAAGGCCAGTCAGAAACACTGGAATGTTTTTTAGCAGAGATGCATCTCCATTAGCCATGGCTGTGAGCAGACGTTGCGTTTGAACTCACAGTCCACCACCGCTCCGGTCCACTGGAATCCCCACACGCCGATGCAGATTCTCCTCGGCAGTCTTCATGAGCACAGCCAGCCGGCTTCCAGACACGTAGCCCTTCTGAATAGCACTCATGAGCTTAGGAGACAAGAGGGAGAGCACTCTGTTAATTCCTTTGCAAGGCAAAGAAGAGAGGCAGAGGGTACAGCACTTCATGAAAGGCCTCAGCAAGCAGCCAGAGTGATAGCAACCAACACCAGTCCGCAGGCAGACACCACCAACCCCTGCTGCCCATATGGCTTATGGGACATGGAACCCCGGCAGAGCTATGCAGGTTGGTGCTATTGGCTTCCCTGCACAAGAGGCAGACAGGCACTGCTGTGTGTCCCACCCAAGGGCCACCAGCAGGAGACACCCACACAGCTCCACTCTGAACAATGGCAGAGTTCATTGTTTTGTCCAAGAGCCATTAGCAAGTGTTAATGAATACACAGAACTGATTTTTCCATATATACAGCAAAACTGCTGTATGGTTTCTGAGCTCATTTACATTTCCCTGAAATACCAGTGAAAGTTTTGGCCAGGCATGGGTGGCGGAAAAAGCAGAAGTACCAAATATGATCCACTTGGAAGTAACGGTGCAAGCGACAGTCAACCCCAGGGTTTTTGCATATAAGAATGGAGGATAACCCATCCACTTCAGAGGTGGTTTGTTGGTTTTTTTTATAGTATCTGAAAGATGTAACTAATAGAACCCTATTCCTGATCCACCACTGATCCTAGACCATACCCTCTTTCATTTATATGCCCTTCTTTGTAGAGACAGCACACTTGACTTCCACAATTCTTTCAAATCCAAGTTCCTTTACAGACTTTTAAAACTAATTTGCCTTTAAGTCCTGGAAACTGGACTTGGCTCTGTTTTAACGAACACACACTAGTGCTAAGATTTTAGTTAATTCTTCTTTATCCCCTGGATAAAGCAAGCATTAGACTTGAAATTACATGCAGCCAGCTTGTCAAAAACTACTATGGAAAGCAATTGGCACTTACAAAATGCAATTTCTTACTCCCATCCGGTGCTGAGAATCCTTCAGATTTCTTCCCTTCCACAAAAAAATCTATTAATTATATCTGCAGCTGGACCTATGCAAATGTGGCATCAACCCTGTCAAAACAGGAATTAGTACCTGGAGGGAAGAAGGTCAGAGGGAAACTCTGTGCTTTGCAGACCCAGATGAGGGTGGAAAAACCTCCCTGCACTTTGAAGGCGGTTACTGACCCTGTGCAGTCCTGAGGCAAGGCAGATGATGGAGTTGGGAAGGAGAGGACCAACAGCAGGAAGAACAGTAGCGACAGCCAGCAAGGGAAGCCCATGATCACCTGGAATTTGTGTTTCCCATCACCTACCACCCCACTTCCAGAGTGATCTCTACACACAGCAAGGGAAGTCCCAAGAGGACAGGCCCTGCTCTCACCCATGCACACTGCCTGGCAATACACTCTGCTATCAGTCCTGAGTCTGTCTGGACTAACTATACTGCTATGTAGGAGAAGCTAGTAGCCACAGAGATACAGAATTTTACAGCAGTAACTGTGAAACTATACCAACTACAGTCTATATGGCATGCTTTTTGGGGGAAGTAACCATAAAACGGTGGTTGCTGATGGCTGATCCCCTGACACTGCCATGAAAAGAAGAGTATCTGATAAGTGGGTTGGTGAGGATCAGAAAGGAAATCTGCTGTTGGGAAAAAAGCCTCTTCCTGATTTAACAAGGTTTTTGACTTTGCATACCAAAACTAGCTCCCAAGTTAGTCACTCCTTCCCTGAGCATAAATGACAGCACCACTAAGAAAACAGTCACTGCCATAGGACAGCACCATGTGCACACAAACACCATCAGTGCTCTGCCTTCCTGTCATGTGGAACAACCCCTTTGTGCTCCTGATCAACACAGGCTGCTTTCTCTCTGTGAAAAACCTGTAGGCATCAGTGCCTGACAGGATCGGTGCTCACCAGACTGTTACTGGAGTGACAGGAGTGACATGGGCACCTGCAGTTGGTCAAAGGAAGTGCTTGGGACTGCTCTGCTCCCTCTGCAGAGCTGCGCTGCCACCCTGGTACGCTGTGTTCCTATATTCTAATATAAATGTCCACAAATATTTGCACACAGTTTTCCATAAGCATCCTGTGGTAAAATGCAATTACTTTAAAGTTTTCAGAAAGCAAACACAAAAGCATTGGGGGCTGACATAACAGATCCATTAAAAAAAAAATTAAACAAACATTTAATGTATTTTGTTCCTTCCATGGCAACCTCCTGTTAATTTTATTAGCACACTTCATCCTAGGCACTCAGCTGTGCAGGAGCAACCTGTGTGTTGCTCCCTGCCCCCCCGGGAAGGAGGTGCACAGGCACAAGTGATCCTTACTGCAGTGCCAGTCACCAGTATTAAATATTCCAACTGTGAAATGCATAGGAGAAGCCAGTAGCTACAGTTACAGAGTTTTACAACAGTACCTTTGAAACTATACCAAAACAGTGGCTTGCCTTTCACATTTTACAGATACAATGCCTTAGGGCACACAACCCCAACTGAGGCTTTTTAGCGCAGGGCAGCAAAAAAATCCAACAAGCCACCAAAAATCCACCGCAGACATAATTACAAGTTGTTCCAAATTTGTAACCACAGTGTATCCAAACTAGCCACATCATAGCTTAACACAGCCCTTACAGTGAAAGGTGAGCTCCCCCTATCCATTAAAAGTTTTCACATGCAGAGGGGTGTAAAAGGGAGACCCTTTTCAATAGCCAGAAAACCAGCTGTGATTTTCTCTTTTATATGAATCCGTAAGCATGAATTCCCAAAGCCATTGTTTGTCTTCTGCCACCACTGTCTGTTGGAGTTCTTTTTTGACCCTTCCCCCAAGTGAATTTCAGTTACCCAGCTAAATTGCTGCATTTTAGGCAAATAAATAGTCCCTTTTTCTAATGCTGGACACAACCTGTGAAAATTTTCTGCATTTAGATTCAACAATGCTGCTCTTATCTACAGCTCATCTCAAGAGAGACAATTACCATTTCCTCTGCCTTGATCTTGTTTGTTTAACTTGACACAGTGAAGAAAAGGCTGACATTGACCAAAATCCCCAGCATGAATTTATCTCATGTTCGGCATTCATCATTGCCACCATGCAGGGAAGACATGGCAGTCACTTAAAATACCACACCAAGGAAGACTCCACAAAAACAACACTGACTGGCAAACAGCATATGCACGAGAGACTGGGCAAACAAACATTTCCATAGTACCCTTCGCTTTATTTTAAAGTCCCGCAAAAGGCAGGTGCATGGGTTGTCAATGTAACATCTTCCATACAAACTGAGGTACCCTTATTCCACCTAGGACTTAAACCAGGGTTATAGGTTTATATATAAACTATGTTTTAGCTGCAAGCTCATTCTTTAAAATAGGCAAAATAGTTTAGAAACTACTAATCAATTAACACACCAAGATAAATGTCAGTGTGCCCAACTGTGCCATATACCTTCCAATGGACAGTTTTATCATTTTGATTATACTTAAACAGCACTTCTGTAGGATAAAGGGCAAAATTCAGGTCTGTACTGCAGTACACTTTGTAAATTGGAACTGGTTTTGGGGTCTTATTATTTCTGCACATGAAAAAAAAAATCCTTGAATTTCAAAGCTGCTTGAGGATGGTTGTGTGTGTCACTCACCTTGTGATCTGGCAAACAGCATCAACACTATAGCGTTTACTCAAGTAACACTCACCTAGTCTCCAATCCAGCCCTTAAGCAGAGGGGAAAAAAGTTAAATACTTACACCTTCGTTAAAGTTACAGCTTCTCTCGTAACAAAGAGACGCCTACCTGCAGAAACTCATTGAGCTCAACCTGTCCATTTTTGTTCAGATCCACTTCATTTAGAATATCATGAAGAGTATTTTCAGCAATTTGCACACTGATGCTCTAGACAAATAAAAGCACAGAAGTACATCAGCTGCATTGTTCAGTACTATTTATGCCACACTCTCAAATTTAGATAAGAAACTTAAAAAGGAAACCAAAAGAACACAGGGAAACATTACCTCCAAGACACGCTGCACATCCAGTATAGTAATAAATCCTTTCTTGTCCTTGTCAAACATGCGGAATCGCTTCTTGTATCTGCAAGATAAGGATTATCAGTGGGAAAAACCGCACTCAGAAGAATGACAGGTATTAATTCCCAGCAGCATAGGGAACTCTTTTACTTTACTCACCTCTCAATATCTGAAGGCACTAGACTGATTTCAGAGCTGTCTCTTAATTGATCTGATTTTACTTTGTAGCCCATTTCATAATAGAGAAATTTCTTAGCAGCTTCAAGTTCCTCCTACAAGAAAAAAAGAAAAACTGTGTATCTGAGGAATAGGGAGCTTTCACACAATTATTTTTAATGTATTATTTAGTAGTTTCTTCCACTTAACTAGAATTTATCTAAGGTCAAAAAATTAAGCAGATGGTACCTGAGAAATATTAAAAAAACCCAACTTACTCTTAGGAACTTTTTAGTCTTGAAAAGAGGTATCAAGACTAGTAAAGACTTCTAATTACCGTGTAAATGCTTTAAGGACTATACACTGCCTTCAGTCACACATGGTGTATCTACCTGTTTCATGACAAATGGCAGATGCAGTTCAGACCTACAAAATGCCATTTAACTCACAGCTGATATCTTAGTGCAAGGTTTCACCTAACTGTCTCAAATCAGCAAGCAAAAAAATCAGGAGGCTCAAAACCAAGCAGGTTCTTTTATGTTTTAAACTAGTTTTCTGGATGGTAGTAAAACTGATTTGTTATCTGAAAGTTCAGTGGAAGGTCTTCCATAGCCAGTTTTTTAGTAAGTGATAAGCACCTGACACACATACAGTACTGTAGAGCAGAATTCCTTCTACAGCAATGGGTGCATCAAACACAGTTCTAAGAGTGATACAAGCATTTGCTATGCAGGCAGCAATATTAAATAGTACACATCGCAGAATGGCCGCAGCAGCAGTAAAAGATTCCTTAGGCACGTACACATAAGCCACTTAATCTAGCAAAGCCTTGTTTGTGAAGGGGTACTACTCTTACATAATTCAATACAAGCACAGAAATTAGCCTTAAAGTCCCAAACCAACAAAGACTTATTTAATGGTCTTACTGTAAAATCTAAATTAAAGCATGCTCGTCTGGATAGGCATTGAATTGCCTCGTCCATCAAGTCAAAATACAACACAGGCAAGATTGCTGTAAAAATGTAGCACTTCAAAATGGCCAAGACTGGTTACAGAAGAAATGCTCAGTAACTCAGTGGAACTTTAGCCTCACTTGAAAGAGAAGGAGACTTTCCCAAAAGAAAGCCCAGCAGACATTTGGGGAATGTAGAGACTGTCATGCTGGCATTAGGGTACTCAGGCAAACATAGATGGTTTTGCCAGTCCTACAGGTGCATGCGGTACGTATTAATTTTCATTCCTGCAGGTTACAGTGAGAATATAATTACAGCTTAACTCCCCAACTATGGCTGCTGGAGCTAAGGCTGTCCATCCAACCCTAACATCATGCTAGTTTCAAACTCTTTGCTTTATAAGCTTCCCATTTTCCAATCTATTTTTATGAAAGAATAGATACAGCTTTCTTTAATACAGTAAATTATTATATAAGCAAATCTTGTTTGGTAAGTGTGGGATACCTGTAAGTTCAGTCAAACACCTCCAACTATGAGGTTGTTTAATGTACACGCACAAAAGCAATGCAGCTCACATCGGTGACATGATGGTAGCCCTATCTTTATGCACTCCTGTGGGGAGGCTTTAGGACCACAGCAGGTCTCTGGCTAGAGGATTCAAATGAGCTCCTTCCAGAATGTTAATCACACTTCTACCTTGCTAAAGGGTTTCATGAACAGTCTGAAGGAAACTTCCCATCTCCTTTGGAGTGGAAGAGCTAGGTGAGCATTTACAGGTTCTTTTTGTCTCAGAGTAAAAGAAGTCCCAAACCACGGGTCCCATTTGGTTACAGCACTTGTTGCGCTGCCTCTCCTCCACCATACTCGGGGCAGCATTACACATGCAACCTCTTTTTGTGACAACAGAAAGAATTGATAATCATAACTTACATGACATGATGGTTCAGTAGGGGCAAGATTCATGTCAGTAAGTGGGATGTCTACATCTAAGCTTAGATCTCCATGGATCCAAGGTACTCCTGTCAGTTTGTGAAGATCTAAGCAGGGTTGTAGGGTGCAGTTCATTACAGCAAATGCCTTCATTAGGGTAAGTGATCTTTACTACAGAGCAGGCACACAGAAACCAGCTTAGACAAAGACAGCGTCTTATCAGGACTGCAAGTAACAGTAAGATGAGTCCCACACGGTTTGTCTGGGCACAGACCCACTCTGGGCAAAGGAAGGTAACAATGACCTTAAACATTAATTTAAGACAAAGAATCATGCAAACTCAGTATCATCACTTCTCAAAATACACAGCAGACAAAAAAGAGTGACACATATTATAAGATCCTCCTTTTCTGAGGCAGATCTATTGAAAAGTGTCAGTAAACAAAATTATTGTACAGGAATAGGATAGTAATGCCAAGTCTGCTTTCATTTTTAAAGTTGGGGAACAACAGGACACAGATCTTCACTTTCCCCTCCACCCCCCAGCCAATGCCAACTCATTTCACAGCTATTTTGATAAAGTCTTTATAGTGAAATATGCCAAGTGAATCATTCTCTTGGGAAGAAAGCATCACTTGAAGTTTTCTATTCAACTAATTTAGATCGTTAACATGGAAACTACTTAAGAAGAACAAAACAGTTTCAGATGAAAAAGGCCCTTTGTACCTTTTTTTTCTGCTCACTCCAGTTAAGTTCTTTTCCCATTATATCTACGATTCTTGGCAGGGCTTCCTCTGCAGCCTGCACATTCAGAAAGGCCAAGCGAGTACGTCGGGAAACCATATCCACTGCTGTGCGAGCATACTCTTTGACACCATAGACAACCTAGAACAATAAGAGAAGGGGAAAAAATGCAGATGAGAAAGAAAATGGGCACTGTCAGAAATTACATTTAGCATCACAAGCCTTCCTGCTAGGTTGGCTATACAAAATAAACTTGTTCCCACCCAAGCAGGCAGAGTGTTCAAAATGCTTGGGGCATTTTATAAAGCAACATAAAATCTTCCTTGGGACATTTTATAAAATCTACCTGGCATCAAACATGTATATATGAAATAAAAAATAGACACTATATAGTTACAAATGTTTAATTTTTAAAAAATACATTAATATGTGTATATACAAACAAAAATAAAGCATGCTCCAGAGAAGGAGAAAAACAAGAACAGGAAAAAGTCTGTATCTGACCAAAGGAGAAGGCTTATGGAGATGTTTTACAGAGCAAGACCGACCTGCTCTAAAACCTGCTTATCCCAAGAAGAGAAGTGAGAACATCACGTAGTTTTTCCACATACCTCAGCTTCAATATAAGGAAATTCAGACACAAGACGCTTTCCAACAATAGGCCATCTCTTTCCTGTAACTTGGGCTATTTTGGCGACCTCAAAAGCCTTGTCGCCATATGTCGAAGCTAGATGCTGAGCCACCTATGGAGTTGAAAACAAATTCAATAGGCTTTTGAAAGCACATCAAATGCACACATTTTTCTTGTCAATTCTCTTGTCAACAGTAACAAACAGGCTGAAGAGGGTATTAGATTTTGATTGTGTGGGAGGAAACTATTTGTGTTGAGAATGGGTTAGGCCAGCACTGACACCACTATGTATGTATCAGTGTAACTGTGACTAATGATGCTCCAACTCTTCTGCTGCGCTGTGATCATCCCTGAGGTACAGACTTTTTTGGGCTCAAAGGAAGACAGATCCTAGGATGTTGTAACATTTTAAAGCAGGAAACAGTCAAAATTAGGAGGAAGGAAAAAGGGAAGAAAAGAACAATTACTACATTTTTCTTCCCCAGCTAGATAATAAGCTCTTATCAGGTTTAACAGACCTTTAAACAAGTTATTCTGGTATTAGATTTAATGGAAAAACAAAACCCTCCAACAAAAAAATATCAGAGCATCAACAGACACCATGACTCACCTCACTTTCAAGTCCATAGTCTTGGACCAACCTAATGTAGAGAGTGGGACTCCAGTCCTCAGCCCCTTGCAGCTGCAGTCCAAGAGTTTTACTGGAACCTGCCTTCAAATTGTGTGCCTCAACAGCTGCATCAATGGCGTCCTTCGCCATGGCACGGTAGGTTGTCCACTTCCCACCTGTAACCACACATTTACTCCTTTATTTGGGGAAAGCAAGGGGAACACCAAGTTGGTATATACTATATATATTTTGTAGATCACATCACTCTTATTAGCTTGCTTCAATAAGCCAGTCATACTACTACTGGCAGATGATTATCTGGCTATAGGAGCATGAAGAATTGTCCTGTAACAAGGAAAGGTTTTGAATAAAAGACACTGGGTAAACCCAACAACGCTATACTTTAAGAGAAACTCCTACTTTAAGAGTACCTGCTATTGTGACAAGGCCACTATTACTAATGGCAACAACATGATTCCGGCATATCGACTGTGTGTCTTTGGAGTTGGGGTCTGTGACCAGAGGACGAATGCCACTCCATGCTGCCAGTACGTCTCCTCTTCTCACTGTCCGGAACAAAAGATCAGCTAATCAGCCACGAACTGATGGGTATTTACCTCGTGTCACTCCTGTGGTCTTTGTGGCATTGCCTCTAAGTACATATTCACTGTGAAACAAGGACTGCACCACACCATGCTTGTTAGCTGAGCAACAAAAAAAAATCTGGAGATGATCCTCCAATGTAATGGAATAAACTGGGCTACAGAACTAAAATCAGCACTGTCCTGAGCAGTATCAGTAATATTCTCTAGCCCAAAACAAAGTCAGAGAGGTCTGTTTTTCACACTGGTTAAAAATCCAACAGAACAGAGATATCCTGGTAACTGATCAATCAAGAGAGATTCAACTGTCAAACTCAATCACCGCCTCAAAAAAAACCCCAATGCTGTTCCTGCTTCCTGTCCAGTTACAAGTATATCCCTAAAGCCAGCCCTGACTTCTTGGTAAACTTGGAAGAAGAGAGCCTGAAGGCATCAGGTAGTCACAAAAGCCCTTAGCAGTTGTAGGAAAATACCCTAGCCTCTGAAAGTCTCTTAAAATATATATATATATATATACACACACACACATATATATACATAAAAGAAAATGAAACCAACAGATTTTAATGAAATTAATTCTGTTGCTTATTAAACTTGCAACAGAAAAACTGGCCAATTTGCTTTATGCTGGAGCCTTTGGAACATTTTTTTTTTAATACAACTTTCAAATAAATGATAATTAAAAATCAGTAAAAGGGTGTAAAAATATCCCCCAAAGAACACAAAATAGATTTCAGAAATCAATGGTGCTCTGCCAGCATGTTTAACCTGCCAAAATGAAGTGTTAATCACAGAAATAAGATACCATATTACGTTTATAAACTAATGAAACTAGAAAAAGCAGCATGCGTGACACTATAATTAAACAGTTGGAACTCATCCAAGCCTGTGTAAGTTGATAACCCTGGCACTGTCTCTGGCAGCTAAAAGGCAGGTCTGCAGCAAGTTGATATGGCCAGCACAGTTGTTAATTCAATAACAAGCAATCTATAAACACTGCTAATTGCATATGTGAAAAACAGCGCGCACCTAGGTAGGTTTCATTCAAAAGAATTAACCACTTCATAATGTACTTCTGTAAAATACCTTACAAAATCTCTGTCTTACCCACATTCTTACCTTTACCAGCTATGCTGCTGGCCCACCACACATACCTATATTGACTTCTAGTCACGAAGCCTAAAGGTACATTTCCTGAGGACTTCTTCTGAAGTTCACACAACACAGGTCAATCAATTATCCACTTCAGAAAACAAATAATGTAGCATTTCCAATCTCTGGACAGCAAGTTTTCCTAAATCTAAGGATGCTGCAATGCTCCTCCTAACCAAGTACTTTTCAGATTTATTTTAATGCTGCTATACAACAGAAATACAGAAGTACAATTGTTTTCACAAAATAAAAGTAAAAAATCACTAAGAAAGAAAAAACCCTCTCTCCTGTAAATCAGCATCAAGTCAAAGCAGGCTAGCTTCTTACAACAAATGGGTTCTCAGCTCAGCTGCTGAAGAGAACAACTGTCACCAAGTAATTCTCCTCTTGCACTGAACACTGACATTATTAGATAATTACCATATCAAGAAGAGTCAACTGTTAAGAATAAAGTGCCTAGAAAACTGGAAATAAAAACAAAGACATGGGAAAAGTCAGGACAACTTCTCTTTCAGAAAAAAACAGGTGAATTATTTGATGTACTCATCATGATGCATGGTGGAACTGTTGAACTCCAGTTCTGAGAGGCCAGAATGCAGGTGTATTGAAAAGCACCATTTTATAGCTCTGAAACATAGATCATGATGACGCTTATGTCCTGCTAGTTTTAGGAACAACCAGATGCACAAGAACCACAGTTATCAGAGCCAGAGAGAGAGAGAACGCACTCAAATTGAAATGCCACAAACTCACCCACACCTTCCCAGGTTAAAAACAAGTGGGCAAAGGTTTACCTTCAACATCAGCACTAAGGTAGTTGCGTACTTCATTCAAAATGAAATTTATATCTTCCTCTGTTGGTATTGGATGGGAAGTAACATCGGTCGGGCTATCCGTGGTCCCTGCAATAGTCATCTTCTCCCACGGCAGGAAGAAAATCACTCTGCCATCGCTGGTGGCTGGGTCAAGCAGACCCATATGATCAGGGCTGAAATAAAGGATGGATGTAGGTCAAAACAGGGCAGGCATCACCAGGGATTCTGTTCCTGCACACCTTGTACCCCATATAAAGTATTAGAATGTTATCTTCATTCCTAGGTCAAATGATTAATTAAAAAAAAAAAAAATAAAAAAATCAGAGATTTCACCTGACTTTAAAAAGTAGTCCCAGATTTTTTAAGAAATAGGGCACCTGAAAGTGATGCTCTTTTTTGCTTTGCTAAGCAGGTTAGCAGACCACAGCCTTAAATCTAGTGACTGGGCCTTTGGCATCTCACCTCTCCATTCACTCTGTAAAGTTGTGTTCATTGGAATTTCAAATACAAACATTTGGTAATTTTAAAACAGCAATTACTTGAAACTCTTTATGGAATGAACAACTGCTTTTGATCAAAAAAGGCCAATCATTTATATTATGCCTCAAAAGAAAGAGAAGGCTGAAACAGAATACACATTTAAATGGAAGAACAGAACCCTAGTTCTGTTTTGATGCATCTAAGTATGTAACAAGAAAAATTAAAAATTAAGTATTATTAACCTCAGTTCTTAACTATCTGTGCCCTAAACAGAGGACAAAAGCAAAGACCTACAGAATCCCAGTGACAACCTGCATTTGCAGTAATGCTGTGAGGTGGGAGAGGGGTAATGGTTCACAACAGAAAACCATGAAGAAAACAAGAGAAGAGCAACACTGAAATCATAAGCATTATAAGCACATTCCAACAGTAAACATCCAGCAATACCACAGCCTGGGTCTGTTAACCATCTGCCACTTCAACAGGAGTGAATGCCCAGACTCCCACAGGACTCAGACCAAGAAGTACACTCAGAATACTCTCAGCTCCTGTGCTCCTGAACAGGGAACCATGTTGTGAGAAAAAAAGACAAGGAAGACACTAACTGGATGCTACTGTTCAGAGCTTTGTCAATTATTTACGCCAGTGCAACAAACAACGATTTAGTTAAATGAAGATAACCAGTAGTTCTTCATAGAGGAAATTTTAATTTCTGTATCAATGTTTCCTGATATAATATTAAAAAGAAAAGAAAAACAAATAAACTAAAAATCCACAGGTACAAACCCAGTTATCCTCATGACTTACTAAATAGGTCTGCTTGTATCTCAGAAAACGAAAGGCTTCTATAATTACTTCAAAGTAAACAGCTTTTATATACAGAAACACTTAAGCTTTTTTGTTCATTTTTATTTAAAGAAAAGATGCCAACTTTCATTTGCAGTGCTGTGGGTACTTGCAAAACCACCTGCAGCTAGCTTAGCAGTCTTCAGGTTTTGCCTCTGATCCTGGTAACAGAAGGAGCATATAGGAATTATACAGAAGGAGGATAGGAGGGTATGTATTTAAGGGGTAGTACAGACCATCAGAGGAGTTCAATGGACTCAACTATTAACACAGTAAGCTGAAAGCAGACAAACACCTGCTTGGATATGAATTACCTATTCTAGGGAGCCACCAGCCGAACCACTGAATTGTTATTTTTAGGAAGTCTAAGATTACTGAAGGTAAGTTTTCAATATCTGGAAAGGCTAGAAGAGAAGCTGAAAATTTCATACATAGCATGTATATTAGAACATTTTTTAGGTGATATTTATAGACAGCTTAAGCATACAGTTGGAAAAGTACAATTTAATAGGGGAAGTCAACACAGATTTGTGAAAAGTAAATCACGTCAGACAAATGATTACTTTTTAAAATGAAAAAGTTATTGATTTAGAGACAGAGGAAACTAGAGATTTAATATACAGTATCAGAATATTCAGAAAACTTCAGACATTTTCTCAAAAGTATGGGTTTTTCTAAATGTGATCTCACAGAAACTCTAAAATAAGGAAGATAAACAAGTAAAGACTTAAAACCAAGTTCCACCTCAACACCAATGGTGTGAAGTGTTTTCAATTTGATTACACAGCAAATGATGAGAAAGGATGAAATAGTTCTCCATATGCCAATTAATTTACTGAATTAATGACTACTAGCTATCCCAGGAAGCACACTCTCAATCTCCCATTGCTATGTTTGTTCCATCTTACATAAATAACTAAGGAGCCACCAAAACAAATTAAATTAAGATGTTTCTCATTGAAAAGAAGCATCCTAAAACCCAAATGTTGGCTGATATGGAATGCCTCTGGAATCATCTGATGCACACAAGAAATAGTCCTGAAACAGCATGTTTTGTAAGACACGAATTCTTGCGACTACAGAATAGACATGAAAATGAGCTATGAAGTATAGCAGCATCAGCCACTGTAAGATTTCTCTAGCACTGTTTAAAGACTACTGAAATGGGTAAGTCCAGGACTGTAAACTCTAACATGAAGTATAAAGCATTGCCTTTACATAGAAATATAGGGACAAATGGTCTTGGAGTGTAATACAGATGAATCTTAAATGGCTGTCAGCAAAACAACCATTAAGACACCTGGCCTAATGTTTGAGCAGTTGTACATTATTGAAGAGTTAACTTGTAACAACTGAATGCAGTAGGAGGTTCCTTTTCCAAAAAGCAGTGCAGTTAAGTTGGACAATGTATATCGAACATATGACAAACCAGGAAAAAAATCTTGAAAACACATGACTAAAGTACATGTAGAATGTATGAAGCTGTAGACTACTGAACTAGACAAGATGCTTTAACTGAGGGGCAGACGAGAAGTCTTAGAGTTGAGGTCAGTAAGTGGTTCCTTCCTGGACATAGCATTTTATGGAGCAGAACAGATACATGGAAGACCTCTAGTTGAATAAGCTTTGACCAAAGCACCACAAATGCAGTTAAAGAGCAAATAGGCAATTTTCCATAGAGTAGAACTAAGGTTCAGCAGACAATTTTACATGGGATTTGGAATGCAGATCAGACAAGAAAATTCAAGACAGACAAAAAGCATCTGACATTTGTCAGAAGGGAGGGGAAATAAAGTATTTCATCCATAGACACATTTCAGGCAGCAAGCCTATCGGAACAGAGGTAGTCAAAAACCACTTTCATTTAGCAGATAATACACTTAGACAATAGGGAGTGAGAGGGACTTGCTGCAGCTACCAGAATAGATGTATACTAAAAATAGGATTAATGAGAGGAGGAATACTGGGACTATTAATGAAGAACATAAATGAATAAGAAACCCATGGGAAATAAAGGCATTAAGTTAACATTGGTTTTATAAAACCTTAACTATGTTTATATCTAAAAACTCTACCTCTTCAAAAAAAATAATTTGGGTGAGTACGGGCCAAAATTCTCTATAAAACATTTACCATAAGGCAAGCAGTCGCAGTGAAATTACAATCTTCGTTTGCTGAGGAGTGCTCCTTGGCAGCAGGAGACGACCTGATACAACTAACATTAAATACCACGAGTATTTTCTATTTAGCAGACAGTTCTTGGTTTAAGCTATCCCACTTCATGGAAATTCAGTGCAGTTTTATCTAATCAGCTGCACTGTGGAGGCAGCATGTGGGTAGATACTATTTCACAAGAAAAGTAATGCCCACATGCTGACATACACAGGGGAACAAGGAGAACAAGAATTCTCTACATTTCTGATTAAAATTATTAGGTTATTACTGAATAAATAAATTAGAACCCTCATGCATCCCAAGCCATCTTCTACTTTGAATTTACAAAGTGAGTCAAAGTTTTAAAACTTTATATGGTTTTGTTGTAGGGCCTTAAAGTCAATCACACATATCCTTCTCATAGCATGTGAGGAAACTAGGATTACAACCCATTCTTCCACATAGCTAGTGCTTTCAAGCAGCTATCAAGTCATTTTCCCATTTTTCATGTAGAAAGACACCAAAAAAAGAACAGAATGCAAGAATGATTTTACACTAATCCACAAATGCCTCAATTTTAGAGTCATGGTCATGTCCTGTTGGGACAGCTCTGGAAAAAACAACATGTTGTGCACTGGAAGTCTAAATTTATATTCACAGAGGAGTGCAATGATGATATGGAAAGCACTATTGTAAGTTCACTGTATCAACAGAATTGAGCTAAGTCCATAAATGTGAATTTCCATTAGGATGCTAATGACTTCAGAAACCAAAGGTAATATTTGAGTTTCAACTGACAGGGCTTGCTTGGTAGAAGGGGATTTGGTTTTGCACAGCAAATAAGGACAGAAGCAGTAGTCCACAGAGTGCGTGCTCACAGAGTGCCACAGGGACCTCTGTGACAAGGTCAGCAGTGGAGGCAAGTCTTCTCCACCAGAATGGTAGGTGGGCTGGGGGCCACAGTGGCATTAAAATTTAATGATGTTATTTTGAAGTACTTATTCAATGGCCTACATGCTGTGTTCATATGTACTATAAATGGAGTCATAACATAGCAAAGTACAGTGGCAGAGTGTCACTGCATAGTTTCATGCTTAACAGGACAAGAGATTTTGTATGAAGGCAGCAGCCTCTCTGGAAGGTTTCATATGCTGCTTCTTTTCTTAAGGGGAGTGAACAAGCAGCCAGTACACTCAATTCAAATTCATTATTGAAAAATACGCCTTTCACAAGTCTGTTGCAGATGCCCTGCCTGAATACCCTTCTGTTTCAGCAGGAATTCTGCCTTGGTGTGTTTTAACTAAGAACTACGAGACTTCAGTCTTTTTCTGAATATACGAAATTGATCTTCTAAGCAGCACAGTGCAGAATCCTCTTAAAAAAAAAACCCACTCAAAATAAAAATCAAATGCATTCAAGGCTACCATAAAACCCAGAAATGCGTCTCTGCAAGCCTATTTTTTACAGACACCAGCAGAGATTGTTACAAATGGTTTAGGCTTTGAATATCGTTACCTGTAATAACCAGGCATGACAATATGCACGCCTGCACTTGGCTGACAGATGTTTGGTACTTCCTGATCATCCATTTTGCGCACAGAGTCTGTGAAAGGTCCCGTAGCATTGATAACACATTTGGCTTTGACATCAAATTCCTGCCCTGTGAAAGAAAACAGTATCAATCACATAAACCATTTGTTTTCTTGCTCACTGACACCCTCTGTTATTAATCTACCTATGAACTTCACCTACTGTAAAGCACATCCTGCTTGTCTGAACAGAACAGCTGGAATGATTTTTAAAAATTAACAAAGTTTTCATGTAACGCCTATTTGAAAGAAAATGTTTTACAGTGAAATTCCATCTTATCTGTAAAGGCAGAAGGAGGGAGACTGGATGGAAGAAGTTCAGCTGAAATCTGCTTCTCAAACATGAGAGATTTCAGTCTCAATCCATAGACTTGGTAAATGGGACTATTACTGTACAGCACACAGCGTTTTACAATATCATCTTTGCTTGACAGAAGGGTTTGGATGTAAAGCTTAGCTTACCCTGCCAAAATGCTAGGATTCAAGTGAAAAATCTGACAGAAGTTAAAGATGATTGACATTAATGGTATGCTACTGCACCCTGGGAAGATGGCTCCTTTGTCGGTTCATTGATATTTATAAACAGCAGCGTTCCCTGCTCCTCCCTCGTCTCATTATTTCTTTGTGTCTTTAATGAAAAGTAGGCTCTCCTGAAGGGCTCTGCTTCCTGCTCAACCATGGTGTGGTAGAGCCCGCTGCAGACCAAAGGACACTGGGGGCCCACCACTTGCCAGCCGGTCATCTGGGAAAGCTGGGCAGGAAGCTGTCCTTGTGTACCACAGCTTTCCCATTGCCAGGAAGGCACGCACCTGTTAGGACGTCCCTGCAGCGCACACCACACACACGCTCCTTCCCGCTGGCTGGGTCTGTCGTCTTGAGCAAGCGCAGCACTTCAGTGTAATTGGCGGTGGCAGCGCCGTACCTGGCAGCAGTGAGGGCGATGGCGAGGTTCATCCGCGCGTCATTGTGCTGTCCTGCAGCAGGGACGGGACCAGAGGAAGGACACCAGTCACCTCCAGCCACGGACTTGTGGTATGGAAGTGTGTCAGAACCGATCTGTCACATCTGTCCCTGTCACATTGAATAGGCTTGATGGCTGCCTGCATCTGAGGAGAATTATTTAAAGATACATCCCCTCTGCTCCGTTGGCAGCAATGTGCCCAGCTGTGCTCCTGTGTGGGCTGCTGCGGCACCCAAGAGTATACAACAAGCAAAGCCTCTGAACATGCAACTTAGAATTAGGTTAGAATAAAACTTAGAATCAGGCTCACCTCCACCTAAGGAGCAGACAGATTACTTTTTTCTTTACCTTTTCCTGTGCAATCGTGCTGCAATTCTGTAAATGTATCCAAGCATTCATTTGACATTCCAATCAGTATTAATCAACAATCCCTATTAGCAAGTATGCCACACGACATCCAACAGCCAAGAAACAACCTTTCAGAGACTGTGCCAATTTACCAGCCCTCTAGAACTGTTTTTTCTTCATTTTAACTTCCTAACATACAACATAGAGTATCAAAGAAAGAGAAGTAAGCAGACAAGAATTAATGAAGGATTCTTAACATGTATCATTAAAGATTTATTACTGAAATTCCCTTGTTAAAGAAAACTAAGAAAGAGGTGGAGGGAACATGAGGGGAAGATGATTAATTACTTGGAAATACTGGCTTCACCTGAGACTCCTCCTATTTGTTACTGCCACTGAAGTTAAAAGTCCTGGATGCTGGCTGGAAAGAATTAATATACATTGAAGGGGCCAGGCTCTGTGTGTCCTGAATAATTAATTTAAAAGAAGGCTAAACTTCCCAAGGCATGGTTCACTTCCCTACGTGCTTGGACCACTTCTATCAAAGATAATACTGATAAAGTGATAAATTTCCAATAGACATTGTAGTTGACTTATGTTGCCAGCATTCCCAACATTTAGTATAAATGGTTTATGTAAAGTTTGGTTCTTCTGATTCTGCCTGTGCAATCTTGAACCACTATGCAAATAATCTGTTCCTAGCTAAAAGGGCAAAGTTATAAAGATAGGATCAATGGCCTCGAAGGTGCTGCATCCCCTCCCCAAACTCCTCATTCTAACACAGCCCAGACGATAGAGCGCAATAAGTCTTCAACTACAAGAAAAAAAGTTATGCGAAGCATATGGGAACAGTAACATGATAAAGCACCAATGAAGAAACAAACAGTAACTCCAATTCAACTAAGCAAACAATGCCAAAAATAAACTGCAAAAAAAGAACAGCAAAACAACTGAGCAAGATGTCAAGAAAAGCTGGGGACACTCCATCACACAAGATGCGTAAGATGAAACAACCATCTGTCAGAAGTGGCAGGCAAATCATTAAATAAATGCATCAACATTTATGCTGTGGTAGTGTTGGGGAATGGATAAAATGACCTTATGTGGTTTACCTCAAACCTTCACATTTTAACACAGGCTTGAGCAAATGTACATCTCATATATAGAGGGAGCACTAGACAAAAAAAGGACAACAGCGACGAGCTGCATTACAGCAGCTGCTTCTACATAAAGCAGAATACAGGACATGCTTCAGAGTAACCCAGGCAATGCTCCTCTTGTCCAAAGTTGAAGGCTTTCAGAGGGTAGCATTCTGGAGTCAACTCTCTTCACAGTGGTGCTTGATCTGGGGGACTGCCTGCCCCATAGGGTGCTGCAAGTCTTGATACTGCAGGACAAGGAACCCAGCAGATACCAGGAATGCCACCCTCAAATCAGTGCTGTCTATATACATAGAAACCCTGGAGTATCTGTTTCCGTGCAGCAGGACTTATTCTTTCATTGTAGAAGGATCCTAGGACCAAGGGGGTTTCCTTAGTTACTTTATCCTCCATCGATTAGTCCTTGCCATCAGTGCGTAAGGGGATACCCCCCACAAACTGGTCTTCTCCAGCTAACACAGGGTGTGAATTTATCACACAAAACCAGCCCAACTTTCATTGTTTGCCAATATTAGCTTTGGTCTAATGGAAGTCATACTGTTTACATTCTGCAAGCTTGCTTCTTCACAGTTTTGTGACTTATTTGTCCAGACCAAAAGCAATCCAGAGAAGCCAATCAGCAGAATAAATAACGTGAAAACAGCTGTGATTTCTAAAGAGAGCAAACATCTAAGTAACAACTGTTTATTAAGCCCCAAATCCAAGAGCTGATCAGCATTTTGTTGAAACTCCTAATGCCTGTAACATCAGAATGAGTTAAGGATATGCTCAGTGCATTGCAGGATTTGGACACTGTGCTCAAGATAACATTTCCATGCTTTCTCTGAAACTCTCATCCATTTCCTCCTCATCATTATTCTGATGCAAGAAACCCCTTGCTATTACTCAAATCTCAGCTGTCCAAAAGGAACTCTGAGTGCCTATGTAATGTATTTGCAGGAGGAGGACTGGGAAATAACCAGTTCCTGATTAACTACACATCTAGAAAAACCCACTGGTTTCAGATTGATGTGATCACAGTGCGGAGTCCTCGAGTATTTCACAATATAAACAGCACAGATCTGCAGAGGTGTAGATTTGAAAGAAATGAAGAGTGACTGACTAGCTCAGAAATTTATCATCTGTGGAGAATAATACTGCAACAGTTTGGTAGAGATGGGGGTCACAGTACAGTATTTTTTACATGCAAATAACTGCTTTTTTTTTTTTTTAAAGCCCCCAACTCACATGTGCACATTTTTCCCCCAGACAACTACATTAAAACCCTGCACTTTATATGCAGTAATCTTTTTTCTTGATGTCTGAAGAAGCAGTTGCTGTTCCTCCATGCACGCCCTCCAGTATAAAGGCACCACAGCCAAATAATTTCTTACTACAGCACATTCACTGCTGACAAAGCATATTTTCTGCCAATTAGAGTAAAACTAGCTAATTACTACTTTGGAGTCAGGAATTGTCCTGGGTTCAGCAGTAGCAGTCATGTTTCTCCTTCGTGGTAGCTGGCGCAGTGCTGTGTTTTGACTTCCAGCCTGGGAACAGTGCTGGTGATACCGATGTTTTCCGTTGTTGCTAAGTGATGTTTACCCTGACCAAGGACTTTGTGAGCCTCATGCTCTGCCAGGGAGGAGGGGAAGCCGTGAGGAAGCAGAGACGGGGTGCCTGACCCAGGCTAGCCAGGGAGGTATTCCATACCACAGCACGTCATGCCCGGGGTGGGGGGTGACTGGGAGTTACCCGGAAGGACATGGGCTTCCGGGTGGGACTCGTTTCTTGGCCGGTGGTATCGTATTCCCTTCCCTTGTTATTTTCTCTTATCATTGTTGTCGCTGGTAGTAGTGGTGGTGATTTGTGTTGTACATTGGTTGCTGGACTGTTCTTGTCTCAACCCGTGGGAGTTGCACTCGTTCAATCCTCCTCCCCATCCCTCACGGGAGCGGGGAAAGGGAGAGCCCCGGGGGAGGGGGCCTCGATTGCTCTCAGCCCGGTACCACTCACTGGGAGTGAGTGAACAAACTGTCTGGCTAGGGTTTAAACCAGGACAAGAATGTCTGTTTCAAAGAGAGTGGTATGTGAACAACAGAAAGATGAAAAGGTACTGCTTCATACATGTCCTTCAGACTCTCCTCCCTAATAAACCCCCTTTGCAGTTCTTGCAGCCTGCACAAGAGGTGGCTCAGCGACAACAGGTATTGCTGTGGTACAGGGTGATATTGGCATGCGGGTCGGGGAGCCTCTGTCACATGGCAGAACCAGGCTTTGATGCCTGGCCCCTCCTTCAGTGGAGGTAAAGAGAATACGAGGGATGGTGGGCACATGCCAGCCTGCCATCACAGCTAGAAGTAACCAGACAGCAAGGTCCCAGCACACTTGGTTAAAGTTGGTGTAAAAAATACCCAAAGGGGCCTACAAGAAAGCTGGAGAGGGACATTTTACAAGGGCACATAGGCATAGAACAAGGGGGAATGGCTTTAAACTCAAAGAGGGTAGAGGTAGAAAAGGTATCAGGAAAAAGTACTATGAGGGTGGTGAGACACTGGCACAGGTTGCCCAAAGAAACTGTGGCTGCTCCATCCATGAAAGTGATCAAGGCCACTTGGAAAGGGCTTTGGGCAACTTGGTCTAGTGGAAGGTATCAATGCCTGTGGCAGGGGGGTTGGAAGCAGATGATATTTGATGTCCCTTCCAAACCATTCTATGGTTTCATGTGTCCTCATACCTGGATAATCTTTACTGCTCTAGAGAGAAATGGAAGGGTGAAGCAAAGATCCTATACCTCAACCTTTCCAATTTTTCAGTTAAATGCCATTCCCCCCAGATAAGATTGGGAAATTCACCAAAACCAAGATAAAATCGCCTCCAAGCTTAATTTCCTCCAGAACAGATGTGTAAAGCTTTCTTGACCTGAGCACTGTTAACACCTTGAGAAGATGCCCAGGAAACTCAAGCTGTAGTTTTGTGGTAAATGGTAAACCAAGAGCTTGCATGGGAGGTCCTGGATTACCCACCTAAAGATATCTCTGCATCCATCATCCTCCACATCAGGCACTAGTGCCCCAAAGCAAAGCAACAAAAACAATGACTTCCCCTTGCTAGTAGAGGTAACCACTTCATGACACCATGGGGCTTTTTCCCAAATGTCGTAAGTCAAAAAGTTATTTTATAACAACAAAATGGCTAAGCCCAATTAATTTGGTGTCTTTTTCCATAAATGAGTAAGCTCCTGAAGATCTCATAACTAACCTGTAGGCAATACAGTGAAATTCTAATTATGACCTTCACCACAATAGATGTTTGCAAACACCCTGTCCTGTGTTGTCCAGAACTGTTACTGGAGGCTAGCTTGGAGAGCACTTGTTTGCTGTGCACTGTGCACACATCAGCTGTCAGCTGGATGCCTCTCAATGGCGGTGCAAAAGGTATCCTTGGGAAAAGCATCCAAGAGGCAACTGATGCACATGCTGAGTGTTCTTTGCAACTCCTCCCATGATACCTCTCAGAAGGATGT